GAACCTGTTCCCTTTTATTGAGCGCTGCCTTTCTTAGTCAGATGGCGATGTACGTAGGCGACTTTCATTGCTGGCTTATAAAATAATTTTGAATTGCTGACTGGATGGCCGAATATCACTGCACTCCAACGTGTGTTTTCCGGTGATAGTGAGATACACAATTTATAACGTTTGATGTTCTTTGCATATCTGCTGAAGCTTCCTTTAATCTCAGTTCGTGAGTATAATAAATTCCTAATGACACAGGATTTAATGTAAACAGAACTGTTTAAATATATCGTGAAAAAAGGTAGATTTTCTTATAAATTTTTTAAACTTTTCGATTAATAATGGATTGACTCATTGTTAAGTTGAGAATGTAATACGATACAGTCAGACGAAAGACTAAGCCCCTGTAAACATTACGTTCAGAAAAATGAGTCACGCATACTTCGAGTTCGCGACTATGGCTACAATTGGTCTAATACAAGTGATTGTCGACTTGTCAAACGGTAAAAAGTGCAATCATAGCACAATCTGATGTCATTCTTGTTAGGAATGCGTTTTTCTTTTTTACCATTCCGTGAATTTCATGAACATATATCATTGTAGCTAGGTGGCTACTAAAACATGGCAGGAAAACTATGTTGTTACTTTGCGCCACAACTTAAGGAGCGGCTGAGTAACTTACCTTGTTGGGCAAAAAAAAAAAGCAAACAAGTGGAGCTGACATAAAAAACATTTATATTGTTCTAGTACTATTTAGTAATTCTATCAAGTATTAAGTAAGTTACAAGGAAATTATTCAACAATTTTAATACAATTTTTGATTTTGAAGTTAAGAACAAAGCTACACAAAGGGCTATTTGTGCTCTGCTCACCACAGGTATTCAAAATGTTTGATGACAAGAAACCCATTTTTTAGGAAATAAAAATTTGGAGGCGGCTTGAATGGGTAATGAAGACAACTTTATTATAAACATACAACGTATCTGGTTATGACTTCCTCTTATCGAAACGTTGTACATTTATAATAAAGCTTTCTTCATTACCCACTCCAGCCGTCTCCACATTTTTATATTCAAATGTTGTTCAAAGTGATAGACTAAACGGAAAGTAGCTTGTCAGCAGCACGAATAGTGAGATTGACCGTCACATCATAATGTCTCCACGACTGAAAGGTCGAGCATATTCCGGGATTGGATTCGAACTCACGATCCTCAGAGCGTGAGTCGAATGCCACTTAACCATCAGGCCTTAAAGAAATGCAATTGAAAACGACGCAAAACGGTTAAGGCGTACGTTTATTTAACTTTCCAAAACACGTGCATATCTAGAAAACTGATACAGCACAAGGTTCGATTGTTTCACGAATGCAAAACTTGTTTGTGTGCAAAAAACTGAACCGTTATTTTTGCTTCCTACGTTTGTTATTTTAGAAACAAACACACATCACTTGCCATCTAGAAATTGACTTTTGTGAAGCAATAGTTTCTAGTTTCATGGGTTATAGCTACTGATGAGGAATAGTTCAACTCTGAATTGTGGAAGATATTACATTTTCGTTTTTCATTTCGACATTTTGGGTAGTGAGCACTAAGACTATTCGAAACAATTACCTTTTACTAAACTTATAGTTCATCAACTACAATATCGTGAGTACAAATGCAAAAAAAGAACAAAAAAAAAGTCTAGTAAAACATATATTTTTTTAAATATAAAAATGTCTTTTGCACGGAAATACGAAAATTGCACTTTTTTTATTTATTAAGGTATGGAAACAGATCAATCATACAAGTCACGTATAATAGATATATTATTTTTCTCATTGGATGGTGGCCGAAAATAAATCGAATAATTTGATAATAAGATAGACATATTTTTCGGTCCAGAAAGATGTAGAGCATCTTGCACCGTACGTTGGTTGAACTTTAAAATTTCTTCCCTTGGTGATGTGAAAAATTTATTATACATTTTCTGAACAATAGACAAGGTTTCGCGCCACCGTTTAGTATGAAGTAAGTTGTCAACATTCATATAAGCACATGCTAGTTTTTGTTGTTTTTCAGTCCAATTAATGAGCGCTAAGTGGCCTTACACAGCTACACTTATTTTCCTCCAGAGAAATTGGTAAATCGTTATGGGACTTACTTTTTGAGAATAATGAACGTTTGAACATTTTAAGCGTTATTTAATACGTTGTGCACGAGTTTATTTATTTTGCCGAATTGCAATATGAACTTTACAAATACCGAGATATTCGATTCACGTAAGATTGGTTTGTTATGAATTTCGTGCAAAGCTACATGAGGGCTATCTGCGCTAGCCGTCCCTAATTT